TAGGTAATATTTAAAAATTTCATAAACTTTTAAATTTGTTACAAAAGTAATACATTTTCATGATCGATAAGTGAGAAAATTGATTTTCAAATAAAATAAAAACCAGTCATAATTCCATTGCCCAGAATTAACTCATTGCCATGTTAACTCGTTAACATGTTTTGTATATCATTCTAGACTTCTTGCCATATATATGTATATGCACACATTTTTATTTTACAAGAATAGGATTATATTTGGTTTTATAACGTGCTTTCCTCTCCTTTAATAGTTTATGGTTTGATGCTTTGTAAAAAAATATAAATATATCATTTTAATCATTGCATGGTCTTCTATTATTAATAGCAGCTGCCTTGCACTGAAGGCTTAACCAAGTGTTGGGACTTTTTTCCATTATTTCATCTTCACTGCTACTGTGTGAGGTAATTCACAGATGAGGCAAGTGATGCACAGATAGGTTGTCAAAGCTACCCAGCTGTAAATAGCAGAGCATGGATGTATTTCTAACCATGTACTCTTTTGCCATACCATAATTTTTTTGACAAATACCTATTTTGAACATCTATCTAGATTGTTTTTGCCCATTGCTATCATAAATGACCTTATGATGAACATCTCTGTAGCTAAATATTTCTTAATTTGTTCCTCAGAGTAAGTTGCTAGAAGTAGAATTGCTGATTAAAGGGTATGAATGATTTTGATTCATGTTGCCAAATTATCCTCCAGATAGGTTTATAAACTTACACTTTCGCCATAGAGTCCATTTTTCCACACTTTTGCTACTAATGGATATTATTAAATAAAATAAAACCCCTGAAAAAACTGCCTTGGGTCATAGACATTTTAAACTGTTAGCATTTGCACAGGAATTCTAGGTCCTTTTTTAAAAAAAATTGGTGTGTGTGTGCTATTGTCCCTATTTTTATAGGTGAGAGTTAAACAGAGTTTGGAGTCTTAAACACACTAACTAGTAACACAGATAGTAAGGGACAAAAATTGAGATTTGAAATCAGATCTTTTTGATACTGTCTTAGTCCATTCTTGCTGCGATAACAAAAAAGCTTAGATTGTGTAATTTATAAACAACAAAAATCTGTTTCTCGTAGTTCTGGAGACTGGGAAGTGCAAGTTCAAGGCCCTAGCAGATGTGATGTCTGGTAATGGCCTGTTTCTCGTAGATGGCGCCTTCTATCTGTGTCCTCACATGGTATAATGGGCAGACAAGCTCCCTTGAGCCTCTTTTATAAAAGCACCATTCATGAGGGTTCTACTCTCATGACTTAATCACTTCCTAAAGGTCCCTCCTCTTAATCCTATTGCATTGGTGATTAGGTTTCAACATATGAATTTGGGGAGGACACAAGCATTCAAATTATAGCAATTATCAAAATTCCATTTTTCTCTCCTTTTACCATACTGCCTTTCTAAGTGACATTTATAGGTTACCTCTTAAAGTAATCTGAGCACCTTGCGCCTATAGCAGCAGTTCTCAAAGTGAGGTACATGGACATTTGAGATCCGAAGGCCCTTTTGGGGGTCCATTAGGCTGAAACTATTTTCATAATAGTTGCTAAATATTATTTGCCTTTTTCATTGTGTTGACATTTGTACTGATGGTGCAAAAGCAATGGTGGGTAAAATTGCTGGCACCTTAGAACAATTTGTCATGTTCATTTTTTTTTTTTGGGACAGAGTCTCACTCTGTTGCCTGGGCTAGAGTGCCGTGACGTCAGCCTAGCTCACAGCAACCTCAAATTTCTGGGCTCGAGCAATCCTTTTGCCTCAGCCTTCCGAGTAGCTGGGATTACAGGCATGCACCACCATGCCCGGCTAATTTTTTGTATATATTTTTAGTTGTTCAGCTAATTTCTTTCTATTTTTAGTAGGGATGGGGTCTCGCTCTTGCTCAGGCTGGTTTCGAACTCCTGACCTCGAGCGATCCTCCCACCTCAGCCTCCCAGAATGCTAGGATTACAGGCGTGAGCCACCGCGCCCAGCTCCATTATATTCTTCATTGCCATGCACTCACCAGTAAAAATAAATGCAATTTCACTTAATAATGTCTTTGAACAAGCAGTAAAAAAATTTTTGACATGTGAGAACTGCTTTCTTTGCTTCCCCATTCTTTAAACAAATTTAATATATTGCTAGCTGAACTGTTTTTCTTTTTTCTTTAAATTTAAAGATGAAAATTATATATATTTATGTTGTACAACATGTTGTTTTGAAATATGTATACATTGTGGAATAGCTTAATTTTTTTTTTTTT